ACTCAGCAGGAGGGAAGGTTCAATTTGGCTCCCAGTTTGGGGGCTTGGGTCCAGGTCAGTTGTCTCTGGCGCCTCTGAGCCTGTGGTGAGGCGGTCCTCAAGTCTGGGAGCCACAGTGGAGCCGTGGCTCACTTCCTGGCAGCCCAGTGACCTCGTGCCCTCCAGCTAGGCCCTGCCCTTTAACAGTCCCCACCTCCCAGCGCGCAGGCTCCTGCCTAAACTGCAGGCCCCAGAGGCCCATCCCCCTGCCTGCCCTGAAGCTCCATTCGAGGTGTTTGTCCCTTCTCTGGAGCATGCGAGGCCATCCTCTGGGCACTGGGTCCTGACGGGGTACCCAGCGCCTGCTTTTGAGTCTCACCTGCTGCTGGTGGCGAGAGTCCAGGAGCATCTCCTGGGTGACTGCCGTCTGTTCTGTCCTGAGTAGAAAAGAATCAAAAAGGGAGCAGGGCGAGGTGGCCCGCACCGGTCATCCCAGCGGCTCCAGAGGCTGAGGCAGGAGGCCGGGAGTCCAAAGCCAGCCTCAGCAACTCAGCAAGGCCCCAGGCAACTCAGCGAGACCCTGTCTCTAAGTAAAAATGAAAAGGGCTGAGGATGTGGCCCCACGGTTAAACCCCCCCTCCCCGTTCAATCCCCAGTACCAAAACATGAAAGATATAAAAGGGTTCTCTGGCAGGAAGGGACGGAAGGAACTCAAGCAGAACCGTCCTGTTCCCCAGCAGCTTCGGAGCCCTCAGAGCAAGAGGAGAGCAGCTCTAAACACGGGGCTGAGGAAGCCGGGACTCTCCTGATTTCCGTGGGCACCGCAGACGGAGTCGGGGTATAACCCGCCCTGCTGACCCTCAGGAAGCATGCCAGCTGCCCCGAGGATGTCCTGCTCCATACAGAAAACAGGCTCCTCCAGGAGCAGGGAGGGCCGCCCAGAGTGGGGGAAGCTCACGCTTCCGCTCCTTGCTGAAAAGCGGGAGGGAAGGGCCTGAAGTGAGACTGGCCAACCTCACGAGGTCAAGACGCTGCACGGGGCCACGTAGAGGGGAACGGAGCCTTCTCTGGAATTCTGCGCCACCCTCCTGGGAGGGCTGTTGGCAAACACTGGCCGACTTAAGACTGAACTGCTATCCAGGGACTTACGGGGTGCTCACAGCATTACACTCACAAAGCTACTCAGCCTCTCCCCTCTGGGCACTGCCCACAGCTTGGCTCTTAGGACCTTACAGGAAACGGCCTGTTTTTTTTTAGGGAAGAGGTTAAATGAATGAAGAGGCCACCAAATCCTTGAGGGTGTTCTCCTTCTGAGTTTTAGAGTTTTGCTCCAACTATTCTGCAGCCGTTGTCAGGAACCTGGGGCAGGTCAGGCGCTTCACTGTCCGTCACTGAGAAGCTGGACATCCCACAAACTGATTTTCAGCAAATTGGCTTTTAGCAAATTGGTCGTTTGGTAAAGTGGTCATTAAGCAAATGGGTCATTTGGCGAAGAGGTCATTTAGTAAATCGGCTTTCAACGACTTGCCCTCTGAGAATTCTCTACAGTGAGCACTTTCTGGGGCTAAAATGTACATTTCATTTCCATATTTAATATTCACTCACGCTCAACCCAGGAGCAGCCAGAACACCCTCTTAAGAACTAGATGATGTAAAACCCTCTGATTTTTTTAAACAGGATCAGAGACTGAGGGCGCCTGCTCTCCAAAACACAGCAATTGGACTCGGTGTCAATCTGGGAGGTCCCGGGGTCCTGTTTATCGCTAGTGTGACATACACAGTCATTCACCGGAAGAAGGAGTGAGTGGTCTTTGGGTTTCCTGTGGTTGATCCTGGTGCTTTGCAATAGCCCACGGCCAACCGCTTCCTGCAGCCACCGAGCATCGGGCATGTTGAGAACCCAGAATGAGGGCAGCTTCCTGGACCTGCAACCTGCACAGTTCCACTGGGGCCAGGGCTCAGAAGAGCCCATCATCTGCTGCCACCATTTTCAAATGCCTGGTTGGGTAGCAAAGGCGTGCACTTTTACTCTGCACTGAGTCCCAGAAGATGGGTAGCCACTTGCATTAGCTTTCCAGGGCTCCTGTAACAAAGCACTACAACCCGGGTGGGGTCGTGCTCCCTGGATCCCCTGGGTCCTTCCCGCTTCATCGGGCCTCGGGTGCTTGCCTGCAGTCCTTGGTGCTCTTTGGCTTGTGGTGGCATCACTCCATTGTGTCTCCAAGGCCACGTGGACATCTTCCCCTGTGTCTTTGATTTCCTGTGGCACATTTCTCTCTCCTAAGGACGCCAGATGATGGATTCAGGGCCTCCTCTAATCTAGTACGACTGCATCTGAACTTGATTCCATCTCCCAACTGTATTCCTTATTACACCCCGCCCTGACCAGCAGGACGCTAGAAACAGCCTAAGGAAAGTCGAAACATTACTTAACCTTAAATTCCATTACAGAGTCCACGTTTAATGTAATTTATATTTGAACTATAAAATTTTTCTATAAGTTGAAACATGCCCTATAAATGTCTGCACCCCCTGAAGCAACATTTTAAAAAGAAATCAATTGGCCCCTTTTTACAGAACCCATTAGCCATAGGAGAGAGAAAGGAAAGACCTCAATGTACTGATTGAACTACCATGCCCACAGCATCATTTCTCAAAGGCCACCATTCCATACAGCTAAAATGCATTGGGTTATTATTATTGCATAATAGAAAGCCTCAAATCCGGAACTTGGATCCTTCATCTGGTTTGTATACATGCTCCCCCTTGCATCAGGGCAGGACCGCAGAGATAAGGCCTTATCCTGCTCTCCAGATCAACACCACTCGGACGTCACTTACACCTGAACACATCACACTGCACGGCGAGACCTAAAAGATTAAGGGGTAAATTTCCTTTACCCCAGATTTAGATCTCAGACATGTCCCTCCTGAGAGCCTACACTCCAAGATAAGACGTCTTCTCCATGCACAGATCAGACCTGTGACCAAGTAGGGTCCTTCCTCAATCTGCTCCTGTCTGGCATCAGGAAAGGCTGGATTTATTCATATTGGAGGAGTGCACCCCACAGTACTATCATGGCATTTGGTTCCACAGAGAAATGGTGATTAATAACTAATATGCATGTTCAGAGAATGAGCCCAGGTTTATGAGTGTACCCAACCATTCCCATTGGTGTGCACTGTCTACTAAGGCAAGACAGCAAGAGCCAGTCAGAGTCCCTGCCCCAGCTCTCAAGCCAGCCTTCCTTAACCACCAAGACCCAGCCCGCTTCCAGCACATCAGTGTCTCAGGCCACAGCCTCACAACGCTGCAACTGAGGATCTGTGCAGCATCTCGGACTCACAAACTCTTCATTCTGGGTAAAAACACAGCAATAACCATGGTCCGCTGTCTTTATTCAAATCAGCAGTGTTAAGGAAATAAAAGATGAACTTTTGTTTTTGGTTTTTGTTGTTGTTGTTGTTGGTCCAGAGAGGAACAACAGATAGAGCTAATACTTTCATTCAATTAAAATTAATTCCCCTCTCTAGTTCGCAAAGCTGATCAGAGCTCAAGTATTTCTCATCCGAAGGAGATAATAAGGCATAATCTGTCCCCTCATCTACCTTCTGCAAGAATATACAACAAATTAAAGGTCGGAACTCTTCCGAATGGAGTTTTATGAGAGATCTGCTAAGGTAAACATGTTAGACCTTGAACTCGGAGCAAACTGCAGGGGCTGTGCCAGTGAGCTGCTAGCTGTCCTGCCTTGAAGGGGAATCATTATTCCTCTGCAAACCACTCCCAGAAGCCAGCTCCCACTCTTCCTTCAGACCCCTTTCCCTGCAAGATCCAAACCCTGCCGGAGGGAGTTCAGTGTGCTCACTCTGAGGCCTACGAGAGAGAACTGATTCGGTGGCCACCTCCCCGTCCCCCGGGAGGGCACCGCCCACACCTGGATTTTCCCAGCTACAGCCCCAGTGCCTGACAGAGCCACGCATGCAGTGGGCGCTTAGTAGCGTTTAGTGGACAAAAAACTTGTTGGGTGACAGATCCAAAGGCTAGGACAGGAGTGCGGGGTGCTTCTGCCGGGCCGGGAGAGGCGGCCTGATGGGCAGGGTGTTGTCAAGGAGAGGGCGGCCCGGCGCCCCGCACGCGCCCGCTCCTCTGTCCCCCACCGAGACCCACCTGAAGGCACCGAAGGGCTGACTGGACCCTCCCAGGAGCGACCCCGCCCCGCCTCCCGGCTCCCAGACCCAGTCTCGGGAGCGTGAAGATCCGCACCCAGGGCCCAAACCCTGATCCCCCCTCTGCAGACCCAGGCCCAACAGCTCCGCCCACAGGCCGCCAGCTGGGCTCCCGGGCCCCCCTCGAACCCTCCAGAACCCCAGCAACACGGGGACACCTCCCAAGTCCCCTCGCCAAGCCCCGCCTCTGCCCCACTCCAAGCGTCCCCAAGACCCTCAACGCTTAGCCCCGCCCCAAGCCTCGCCTCCTGGCCCTGCCCCTCGTCTGGCCTCGGCCTCGCCCTAAGCCCACCATGTGGGCGGGGCGTCCCGCCTCACGCACTCCAAGCCCCGCCCCGGGTGCCCCTGGCCACGCCCCTAGCGCCGTCTCTCGGACCCGAGCCTCGCCTAGCCCCTCCCCGGAGCCGCCCCTG